TCCTATACATACTATCGAAAATTTGGTCGATAGTATGCCGCAGCGAATTCGGGCGGTGATTGAAGCAAAAGGAGGCCTGACTAAGTACTAGTTACTTAGTACAAAATGTAGATCGGACCTTATTTAAATAAAAATAATATTGATTTTTCTTAGTTTTAACTTTAAATTTTGAGTTTTATGTTATTCCAAAAAGTGTTCGGAGACTTTTGGTGACCCTCTGTATAATAGTTTAATTATATCAGTTTATAAGTTATGTATATGAAAATGATTATTATTAAAGTATATATTAATTGATGTAAAAAGTAATAAATATTTAACAGCAGATTTTATAATAAAAGTATATTCAGATTATGTAATAAGAAAATTTAAATAAATGTAAATTTAAAAAGAAAAAAAAAAAAAATTTATAATATAATTTGTATAATTTTATATTTATTTATAAATAGATAAATTTAAATAAGAGTATAAAAAATACAATAAAAAAATTGGAAGGCAATTAATAGAAAAAGAAAAATCTTCAAATTTTGAGTAATTTTAGTTATTAAACTAGTTTTGTTCATATGATTATGATCAGCAAACTGAATTAATAAAAAATTTTTAACTAAAAAGTAGATTTTCCCTTTTTTTACTGATTGTCTCCAATTATTTATTTTAGAATATATTTTTTAGTAGTAGTAATAATAATGTAAATAAAAAATTTTAATCTGTATTTAAAAATTTATATGAAATATATAAATTTTAAATAGTATAATAAGCAAACTTTGAATCTTATATAAATAGTAAATTTATTTTATTAGCAAAAAAATCCTAATGTAAATTAATAGTTTTTTATAAAAGATATTTATTTGATAATTTAGTATTGTTTTTGATAAATAGAAAAACTTATATAAATAGATTCTTTTTATAAAAAATAGCAATTAAAGAAAGATGATTAGAAAAAAAAAATTATTGAAAAAGTTGATAGATAAGTAGAATTAAAAGAAATAATAATATGAATAAAATTGAGATTAATTATATTTTAAAGAAATATTTGAAATTATCATTAATATTTAACATTATAATTTTTGCTAATGTTAATATTAAAATTGTCTATTAGAATTATATAAAAATTTGAATGATAATTATTTATCAAAATATTTATTAATTTATTTTAAATACTTAAAGGCTTTTGTATAATATAATATAAATAATAAATTTAAAACTTAAATTTATTTTAAATTGAAAATCTAAAAAATAATATAGTTAAAAAAGAACTTTTAGTTAAAAATATGAGAATAAATATTATTTCTAATGATTAGATTAATATTTTAATAATTTTGATTTAATTGAAAGAATAAAAAAAATACATTAAATAGATTATTATAAGAATTATTATTGAAAATCTTATAAAAGTAAAATTAAAAAGATTTTGTTTAATTTGAAGATATTTATATTCTATAAAATATAAATTAATTTGATATCATTTTAAATTTTATGTACAATTTTAATGTTATAAATAGCAAATAAGATTAAATTTGAATTATTAATAATATTTATTAAAACATTATTTAAATAATTATTATTATTATTAGGATTTATATTAATTAATCCTATTTTTAAATTAGTAGAATATATTATTATTAAAAAAAAGAAGGAATTAATTAAATAATATTTGAATTATAAAGGATAAACCTTTAATTTCATTTATAATTCAATAAATCAGGATTTTAAAATATTAATTTTATTTAAAAATTATGATATATAAAAGTTTCAAATTCTTTATAATTTGTTAAATAGGTAAAATCAAAAAGAAAAGATTGAAATAAGACTTTGCTTTCATAATATCATTATCTAGGTCAGTTAAATCCTAATCACTACATTTAAAGTTATTTAAATTGATGAAAATATTATAATTTAATTTATTCTGATAAGAGAATTCTATTACTATAAATTTTATTGATTTTAAATTACTAAATATTAAGATAATTTTATTTTATCTTTTGAAAACTTTATTAGTTTTTGGATTAATTTTCAGGTATTTAGAATTTCAGTTATTTCAGATAAATCAAAAAACTTTAAGAATATTTTCACAGTAATTATCTATTAGTGCTGTCAATGATAACATTTGTTGATATGCAAACTAAAGAAAGAGTATTATTGTAAGAAGCATTAATTATTTATACTAAGAACAGTTGCAGACATATGATAGGAGACCTATATTACATCTTGTGGAAATTATTTTCTTTTTCAAATTTTATTAAGAAAAGATTCTCTAAATGCTGAAAAAAATTAATTATTTCTTTTAATTTTGTAGTTCTTGATCTCTAAATTCCTCAGATTGATTAATCATGTCATGTAATATCATGATAATGATGAGTTACCTTAAAAAGTGATTTTTTAATTTTATTATTACAAAAAATGATTCTATAAAAACAATCGCAATATCTACCAATCAAATGCAATCAGGAAATTTGGCACGTGATTAAAGAATAGTATAGAATATTCTGAAATGTTAAGAGACGATCCGAAATTTTAAAGGTTTTGCTTTTCAACATCGGTTGTGCAAAAAATACGTGGTTTCTAAATTTTTGGTACACCTAAACGGTAAAAGATGTCTCTACAATACAGAGAGAACGAGTATTATTTTCACGATGAAGATGAACAGGTAAATAAAAACATTATTTTGCCGTGTTTTTTTTTAATACTTTATGAGTAACTATTACATTAAAACTAATAGAAAATGTTACTTCGTGCTCTTGCGTTATCTCTTGAAAAGGACAACAATGATTATCGGAATATAACCTCCGGATCCATGGGACTTGGACCAGCGAACCCTCAATCAGGTACTCAATCTCCTGGTCAAAAAAATCATTTTCCTAGAATGGTCATAATTAATCCTCCTAAAAAAAGCATATTTCGAAAATTATTTGAGGGTTTTCTCGGGTATTTATTTGTCTTGATAATCACCTTTTTTTTTTCCTTTGTCCGTGGAAACCTTATTTTTATTCTATCATTTTCATTTCATTTTCATTATTGTTATTATTATTATTAAACCTTTACCGTTTATTTTTATAGGTTTTGCTTGTTGAGCATTAAAACTTTAATAATTGCTGCCTCCTTTGCCTTTTCATTTATCTTCCTAATTGCTATAAATGTTGATCATCAAAAAGAAATTGAAAATCGAAAGTCAGGTATGAAATTTCTTAATGAATTTGCTTATTTGGATTGTTCTTCCTTTTATTTCATTTCTTTGACCTTTCTTTTTTCTTTTTTTTTTTTTAAAAAAAAAAAATCATGTTAGAGGCAGAACGAGAAATTCAAGAATGCAGCTTGAAATATCTCGAAAATCGATGCAATCCTGTTACAAGGGCACCATATTTGGAAAATAATTGTACTTTTTGGGAAGATTGTATGAATCGAAATCCAGACAATAATGTTAAAGAAGCGGAACTTTATGCTAAGCAAATGGCTCGAATAATTTCCGTATTTCTTGAGAATTTATCATATGAAGCGAGAATGATGTTTTTTATATTCCTTGTTATGATCTTTGGCTATGTAACTTTTAAGCATCATAAATAGCATCAACAGATCATCGTCAGCTTACTCCCCCTCCTCAAAAAGAGAAGCATGCAATATACTGTATATATAGACATCATATAGAATTCATAAATGAATAATTGATTTATTACAAGACATTAATATAATAATAATTTTTAATTATTACAAGATTTATAGTAGCAATTATTAAAAATGGCGTTTTCATATTTAATAATAAAGAATTTTTACAATTTTGGCTTTGTCGTTTCCATCCATGCAAATTCCTTGGAGAATTTTTAAAAAAAAAGTTCAGATTTTTTTTTTTTTTTTAAAAAAAAAATAAAAATACTGACATTTGAACTTACCAGTTTCTTTTTTCCTCCTGGTTGTATCATCACATTAATAACAATACATCTATCATCATCCTTTAGTGATTCATCAAGAGCATTACTTAATTCTTGAGGAGTTTTCACAAAATAACCTTTACCACCCGTAGCATCAGCGATTAAATCATATCTTACATCTGGTAATAAAGCGGTTGAAGGTAAATTATTTATAGGGGTTTCGTCAAAAGTTTTCGAATCTAAACCATGATATATTCCATTATTATTGATTATCATGATTAAAAGTGGAAGATTTGCGCGAACTGCTGTTTCAATTTCCATTGCACTATAGAAAGAGAGAGAAATTAATTGAAACAAGATGATGTAATTATTTATTATCATTATTATTATTATATATGTATGTTATATAATAATTCACCTGAATCCAAATGCAGAATCCCCTACAATAGCAACGACGCGCTTATTTGGACAACATAATTTTGCTTAATAATAAAAATAACAAATAAGTTAAAAAGATAATTTATAGAATGAGATAATTAAATGATTTTACCTGCCATGGCATAACCCATACCAACCCCCATAGTTGCCATCGTGCCTATAATGATAGAAAAAAAATAAAATTATATAATTAATTCAATTCCGAATATTTTTTTTTTTTGATTGCTCTTGCACGCAACATTTACCAGCATCCAATCGACATCTAGGTTCTTGTACATCAAAAATGGATCTAGCAATGTCCATGGTATTTGCACCTTCGCTCACAAATATAATATCATTTTTTGGTAATTTTCGTTTGATTTCATAAAAAGCACGATAATAACTCATAGGGATATTATCATCATGAAATTTTTCATTAGTAATCTTAATATTGCTATTAATTTTTTGCTTTAATGAAATGAAATAATCTGATGTCGAAGAATATTTAAAAGATTTTGGTAATGAATCAATAAGCTGTGAAATAACTAGAGGAAGATGACCTAGTAAAGCAATGTTGATTCTAGAGTTATTAAAATGTTCTTCTGGTAATATATCAATTTGAATAATTTTTACATCTTTATTAAATTTTGGAGGTAAACCAAAATGTAAAATCCAATTTAGCCTTGCGCCTAATAATAATATAACATCCGCATCCGCCAACGCTTTTGATCTTGCAGCTGATACGCATAGAGGATGATGATCAGACAAAACACCTTTACCCATTGGAGTAGGAAGAAAAGGGATATTTGTCTTTTCAATAAATTCCTTAATCTCTATTTCGGCACGTGAATATGCTGCACCTTTACCGATAATGACTAAAGGTCTTTTAGCATTTACAATTAATCCTATTGCATTATTGATCTGAATTGGGTCAGCAAGTGATTTAGGTGGATCCGGTGCTCGTTCCGGTAACGTTATCGAATCCAAATTTATTGAACCTTGAATATAATTTGCTGGTAAATCAACATAGACTGGTCCAGGTCTACCATATATTGATATCCTAATTGCTTTATCTAATACATTTGGAATTTGTGAAATTGATGGTGGTCTTGTGGAATATTTGGAATTTGCTCTACAGAGCGTTACTTGATCTAATTCTTGGAATGCACCCATTCCTTCTTGATATGTATCAATTGATCCTCCAATTAAAAGAAGTGGCCAACAATTTACTTGCGCGTTAATCACTCCTGCTAACGCATGTACAACCCCTGGCCCTGATACCACCAAACAAACACCTGGACGACCCGTTAGGTATCCTACATATCGTAATTAAAAAAAATATTAATATTGTTAAACAAAAGTTAAATCAAATATGAATTATGAATTATGAATACCATAAGCACTTGCAGCATAACTAAGTGATTGTTCATTCCTAAATCCAACAAATTTTATTCCTTCAGAAATGATCGCCTCGGCGACCTATGAGCAATTTGAAAGTTGAGAATTTGTAAATTTTAACAGCTAATTTGGTCACCAAATTTTGTAATTTATTACCTCTACAACAGGTATACCAACTATACCAAAAACCACATCAACACCTTGCTTTTTAAGTGCTTTAGCAGTTAATTCTGCACCCGTAATTTTATTACTTTCCATTTTTGTTTTTATATTGTAAAAAATTTTATTTAAATCTTAAATACCTGATTTTAAAGTTACGATTCTTGATTCCATCAGCCAATCAAATTTCGGTTCTTATCTCGAATTTTTAATGATAATCTCAATAAATAAGCAAGCTTTTTATTTTTTTTTTAAAAAAAAGAGAAAATGCCGGAAATATTATCATCGCTCTTTTCTTCAAACCCATACTTTTCCGCAGGAATAGGAGTGCTTGGGTTTGGAGCAGGATTAGCAGCATTACGGCAAGGTTTAGTCAGAGGAAGTTATTTGGCACGTAGAAAGTTACTAGTCTCGCTTGAAATTCCGTCAAAAGACAAATCATATCAATGGTTTTTACATTGGATGTCAAAACAATTAAGTAATAATTCACATAGTCACACACATCAATATGCAGTGCAAACTTCATTCAAACAACATGATAATGGAAGCATAAGTACAACATTTAGTCTTATACCAGGACCAGGTAAACATTATTTTAAATGGAGAGGAGTATGGTTGCAAGTGGAACGACAAAGAGATGCCAAATTGTTAGACATTACAAGTGGATCACCATGGGAAATAGTTACGCTCACAACATTAAGTAGAGACAAGTATATATTTTCCGAATTATTACAAGAATCAAAAAAACTTGCATTAGAACAACAAGAAGGAAAAACTGTAATTTATACAAGTTGGGGACCTGAATGGAGACCCTTTGGTTTACCAAGAAAACGTAGATTATTAGATTCTGTAATATTAGATAAAGGTATTAAAGAACGTATTATAAAGGACGTTAAAGAGTTTATTAATAATGGTATATGGTATAATGAACGTGGTATACCTTATCGTCGGGGCTATTTGTTATATGGACCTCCTGGAAGTGGGAAAAGCAGTTTTATACAGGCACTTGCTGGTGAATTAGAATATAATATTTGTATATTGAATTTAAGTGAACGTGGACTTACTGATGATAGGTTGAATCATTTATTAAGCAATGCTCCTGAACGAAGCATAATGTTATTGGAGGATATTGATGCTACTTTTACTCAAAAGCGTCAACCAACAGATCAGCAAGGGTAAGTTTGTTTATTGCAGGTGAATTTTCTTCTGACAAAAAAAAAAAAAAACTAACGAATTCGAATGAATTTTGATTAGATATCATTCAATGGTTACGTTTAGCGGATTATTAAATGCGTTAGATGGTGTAGCATCATCGGAAGAAAGAATAATTTTTATGACAACAAATCATGTAGAATTGCTTGATAAAGCATTGGTTAGACCAGGTCGTATAGACGTTAAAGAACTATTAGATAATGCAAGTGATCATCAGATTAAGACGATGTTTTTAAGATTTTATGAAGGAGAGAATCAATTAGCAGAAGAATTCGTGCAAAGTGTTAAAGGTAAAAAAGTTAGCATGGCTCAATTACAAGGTCACTTTGTGTTCTATAAGAATGATCCAAAATGTGCTGTACGATATTCCAATTCTTTCATTCAAGATGCTTAATTTAATATATTCTCTTTGTTTAAATATTTAAAGTTCTCACGTGTGATATTTCCATTATATATACTATACAATACCATAATCGTGAAACGTATTGAACCCGTGAGCTTAACATCCTTTTTATAAATCATATCAGATATCCTATTCCGAGCTTTCCATTTATGTTTAATATATATGTAAATGGAAAAAATCAATTTTCTAAAAAGTTATGGAACTAGAAAGTTTATCAGCCAAGAAATCATTCAATGAGACTCTTGGCACAGTTTTAGAAAAGTAATAATAAACATAATCTGCAAAGTACATATATCTGGTTTGTTTAACCAACAAATATAAATAGTTTCACCAATTCATTTTAAGGTCTTGAATGAGCTGATGTTCCAAATTCTCGCAAATTTTATATAAAAATTCCTTTGGAAATAATTTTTTTTTTTTCTTTTTTAATTCTTTGTCTTGGTTGTATTGAATAAAAAAAAAAAAAATATATATATATATTTTTTATTAAGAAATGGTTATTCAAGAACACGGAAATCTTAGTAACTATGTATTATTGAAGGGAGAAACTAAAGGTGCAATTGAAATAAAGGATTTTTTAACAAAAGATCTTATTTATATAAAGAAACGATATAAGGTAACTCATAAATTTTTTTAAAGTAAAGTTATTCTGAACCGGAAAGAGGAAATAATTTACTAAAGATTTCTAAATAAAAAACATATGTATATAAATAAATAAATAAATAAAAAATAAAAAAGGTTCCTGGGGCGTATGTATCCAAGTTACTTGACCCAGTGTCTAAAGCCGAATTAGCCGAAGTACAAGGAAAGAGATCAAACGCAAAATTAAAACAAATTATTTTATATCAAGTAAGAAGCTTTTCCTTTTCAAAAAAAAAAAAAAAAAAAAAAAAAATTTTTTTTTTTTTTTTTCAACATACTAAGAATAAAATTTTCCACACATTCTTTTGATTAGCCAGATGATATTATAGATTTAAAGGATAGTGGAGTGTTAACCTTCGAATATAGATTCTATTGGGAAGACGAAAAATATTTATGGAAAAGAAGAAATATAGGGTTTAGTAAAGAATTAGAATGTAAATTGGTTCATGGAGATGATCCAGGTATAGGAGTATGTATTTTTAAACAAGAAAGTAAAACTTTAGGTTGTTTAACAATTATGTATTATAATATGGAAAGAATACCTGTACGTGATAAGAAAGGGTTAGAATATTTGTTGGTTATGACGTTATTATCTTTTCTGGATAAATGGGATGATGATAATATTTCTAAACCAAAAAATGAATTTATACTTGGGGAAGAATCAAATGGTGATTTGGTAGAATTACTTGAAGATAGAAAGAAAAAAAAACCTGATAAAAAGAGTGAAAAATTAATCATACAATTAGCCGAAGAAGAAGCTAACATGCAAGAACAATTACGTAAATTAAAAGAACAAGAAAAGAGAGATGAAGAATTTGCCAGACAACTACATGAAGAAGAATTAAGATCTACGAATCCTAATTATAATGAAAATGAAAACGTAACATCTGATCATAATAACTCAACTTCAAATGATTCACATGATAATTCTCGATTAAATTCCATGAAGCCCACTACTAGTTTTGCAAATGAATCAACGGGATATAACAAAACGCCAACTTTGAACGAATCAAATTCAACAACAGATTCCAACAAGGAAAAAACACTTCCACCACCACCAGCTTCTTCATCATCTATATCATCGTCAATAACTGCATCATCCACAAACACTTACTCATCCACAAATGTAACAACATCATCACCTTCCGAACGAGAAGAATATTACAGAACACGTCCCCCACCTTCTCCACCTTCCGCTGTTATACCTCCAAAACTTCCTCCAAGAGTTCCTTCCTATTATTCAGATAACTCCAATTCACTTCCTACTACAACTCTACCTCCTTCACCACTTCCTCCATCACCTCTTCCTCCAGGAGTTCCTTCCTATTATCCAAATAATTCCAATTCAACACTTTCTCCAGGATTTTCTTATTATCCGGTTAACACCAATTCTTCTCCTTCACCACTTGCTCAAGGAGTTCCATCCTATTATTCGGACAATTCTTCTACTTCATTTCCTCCTAATTCATATCCCCCTCCTTCTTGGAATTCAACTTATCCTAATGCTGCTTATACAAAAACGGAGAATAATCATAATCCTTATGTTATGCCAACGCCCTCAATACCCACATTTTCTAGTCAATATCCTCTTAATAATTATAATAGTGGTGTAACTTCACCTACTGGTCCTACTGGTGGTTCCGTGAATTATGGTACGGCTGATTCTCAATCTATTAATTATTATCCAAATCCCCCAAATCCACCGGCTTCTGGACCTATTCCTTATTATCCTCCTCAATTTGGGAATGCTAATGATAATAGATATAGTGGGTACAATACGGGATTCAATGGATATAATAATGGATATAATAATGGGTACGGTGGTGGATTTAACCAGTAGTATTTTATAACGCTGTAAGGGAAAAAGGACGCTTTTATATTTTTCATCTTGATCATTTGTGTAGATATTTATAATCCGTAGATCGTATTATTTATTTGTGTAAAGTAATAAACAATCAATATATTGAGTAATAAAAATATATTATACTTTATTACTGACAAATTTAATCGGAAAAAAAAAAAAAAGTACTTTTGTCTAATTTAATTACAACACAAAAAACATTTGCATATTATAATATATAACAATCAATTTAACAAATAAAAAAAAAAACATAAAAATAAAAAGATTGTTACATGTAAAAATGCATAATTACAATATTGTAAAAACAATAAAAATTATTTCGATGAATTTAAAGAAAATTAAATGATTCTCTCTTTCTTCAATAACCTTTTTACTTTCTTTTTTGAAATGTAAGTTCTTTATTTTTTTTTTTTTGGTTAAATAAGGTTATTGATGATAATAATATCAGAAAAAAACGTCAAACTTTTTTTGAATTATATAATGATGTATCATCCAAAGTGAAATTGATGCTTTCCATTATGATATCCACTAGTTCTTTGCCTTGGGAAACCCTGTGAAGAGAATCCTCCAAATGAGGACCCATGGAATCCTGAATTTCCACCAAATCCTCCCCTTGTTCCTCCTCCCATATTAGGCATTTCCCCTCCCATAAACATTTGGAAGAATAGATTAGGATCTACTTCAAAGTCCGATGATCCATTTAATCCATCAATATCAACTCCACTATCATATCTTTGTTTCTTGTTTGGATCCCCAAGAATTGCATAAGCTTCTCCAATTTCTTTAAATTTAACTTCCGCATCAGAATCTCCACAATTTTTATCAGGGTGATGCTGAAGTGCTAATTTTCGATATGCTTTTTTAATCTCACTCTCGGATGCATCTTTACTGACTCCAAGAATCTTATAATAATCTTTTCGTTGTGATTTTTTGAGTTCTAGTTCAGCGTTTCTTAATTCTTTACGAATATCAGGATTATTACTTTCCAAATCCATCGCAAGTTTTAAATCTTGTACAGCTTCTTCATATCTTTCTAATTTGATGTATGTATCTGCTCTTCTCCTTAATACTTTGACAAAATTAGGATCTATTTCTAATGCTTTACACATATCACTTAATGCCTCCGTATATTTTCCAAGTTTAATTAGAACTGCTGACCTATTTGAATAAAGTTTAGACATCATGCCCGCATTCGATGGATCGATTTCAAGAGCTGCACTATAAATATCATATGCTGATTTATAATCCTTTATTTTGAAAGCATCATTACCAGCCTTCTTTTGACTTTCAAGTGCTCTTGATTTCTTTAAATAATCGTATTAACAATGATTAAAGGTAATAGCGTTAAAGAAAATAAAATAAATAAAATCAAACTAATAACATTAGGATAAAGTTAGTTACCTTCAGTAATATACGTGCTTTTGAATTATCTGGGTCGCAACGCAATGCTTCCTGACAGTGAGCGGAAGCCTTTATATTATCTCCCTCGATGTACAATATTCGTGCTCTCAACACATGAGCATCAGGATTTTTTGAATCCGAACGTAAAATTTCACTAAAATAATATATAAATTCTTTGGTTAGAAATTCGTAGGTCATAAAATGAATTTTTTTATGTTTTATTTACTTCGCCATCCTTCCCGCTTCTCCAAATTCTTTTTGCTCTAATAGTGCTTCACCCTTCATTATTTTCCATTTGGTTGGGACTTCATCCAAAGAGGTCGCTGCTCTATCAATCGCATTCAATGCCAAAGGATATTGCTGATTTTTTAAATATACTTCTGCTTGGTGAATGTAACCTTGAACTTGGAGCAACTGCGCATATTCAGCTTTTGCTTGTGAGTTTGTATCATCAATGCTTAGTACATGCTTATACATTCGTTCGGCTTCACTTAGGTTACCAAGTAAAAAATTACATTTTGCACAACGAATGTAAGCTTTAATTAATGATGGATCCAAAGAAATTGCCCATTTACAATCATTTAGCGCTTCTTTTGGTTTCCTCAACATCATTAAAGCAGCGGCTCGGTTGTTATAATATGTTGGAGTATTTGGATCAAGATCTGTAAAATTGAAAATTGAAAAGGATATCAATAATGTGTAATCGAATTAGCCATGAATTATGAGATTTTTTTCACGAACATCTCGAACACCATTCAATCTATCGATGTATGATTTGGAGTGTCCCCACATTCTGTATTAGCCTTCGTCTAAGCCACTCTTGTATATAACACTTACTAAATACCCTTGTAAAAAGTATGCTAAGGTATCGGCCCAAATTTTATAAAGTACCCATCAAAAACATGCAAATATATAGTAGTTCGGATTAAAGTACTCATAAATATTACTCGAGTACTTTACAAATTTGTAAATACCCAGTAAATGGCGTTGATTGACATTCTATAAAAAAATGATTGGACACCTTATTAACTTACCTATAGCTTGGGTATATAAAGTAACAGCTTGATTATAGTTTCCACGTTTATAACTTTCGTTTGCTTCATTTTTAATATCTTCCGCAGAAATTGGTCTAATTGAATCCAAAAAAAAAAAAAAATAAAGAGATCAATAACCCATAACGTTATTAAATCTTTCGATTAACGCCTTGCTTTTCTTTTTTTGAACAAGTACGAATTCTGTATAGTTTTCAAAAAAACGATTATAGGCCGATATTCTAAATTCCTTCTCGATTGTTCTTTACTTAAGTGATTATTATTATTCTTATTTTTTTTATTTAAATAAATAGATTCTCAACCTGTATGACAAATTGCAAATCCTATTGTACTATGACTACAATTATGAAAGAAGAAAGTTTCTTTTTAAGCTACTCTTAGACAAGAGACTTTTTTTCTGTGAGGATCGAGTTTTTTCATAGACCCAGCACATCTTGAAAATGTTAGAGTACTCACGTATTAAATTGTTCTGGAATATCGGTTTCCATAGCAGTAGCCATACTTATTAAGATGGTATTTATAATGTAAAAAAAAAAAAAAAAAAAAAAAAAAAAAAAAAGGCTTAAATAACTATAAAATTAAACGAAAAAAATTATTATTGAAATTGAGTACTTTTTGAATTAAGCATCGAACCCCCTTTTTTAGGGCTAGTAAAAATCGGTAATATGGATCAAAAGCTTGAGGTAAGCGCCGGATGGAAGCGCGTAGAAGGTCAAAGAAAAATCCAATTATTCCTGACAATTAAAGACAATTGTCTATCATAGGGATTTGGTTCTTTTGCTTGTGATACTTAATTGAAACTTAGTATCGAATATTAATTCAACTATAGAAAAAGAAATTACATTTGTGGCTTATGAGACAATTGCCTCTTTGGCCCAGTGGTAAGGCGTCGCTCTCGTAAAGCGAAGATCGGTGGTTCGAATCCGCCAAGGGGCTACTAGTTACATCATTTTTATTTTTTAATGGTGAAACAGGAAATCTTTTGCAATTTTAAATAATTTTTTTTAAATTTCCCAAAACTGACATACCCCTCCAGAATCGTAGTACAAATAAATATTTACGCAAATATTTATTGCTATATTTATTGCTATTTATATACAGCATTTACTTTTTTACCTAAGAGAGATATATATACATTGCGTGTTTCATTAAAATAGATCAATAAAAACCAGTTTGTATAATAAAAAAAGTTATTAATACATACATTTTAAAAAAACGTACCTTGTTTGTTCCCTTTTTTTTTTATTATAATTTTTTTTTTTATTTTTGTATTTTTTATTCTTCTTTAAAGAGTGAGAGTGTTTAGATCTGTCAACTTTCAACGTTAATAAGCAATAATCTAGAAGTATAGTTAAAATAAATAATATAAAATGGGTTCACTTGACGAAAAATCTGATGAGAAACCCTTTCTTCCGGCTCCAGCAACCTCTGCATCCGCATATGCTCACCGCCAAAAACAACATTCTCCAACAATCATTCTACTGGTGGTCGCGTTTTACTGGCTTGCTTCTCTAGCAGTAGTATTTTTAAATAAATTTATTCTAAGTAGTTCGGAGTATAAATTTCCATATCCATTATTTGTAACATGGTTTCAACTCCTCGTCGCGTTGATTATCCTACTGGTTTGGGGAACTTTGGGAAAAAGGTAATCATCAAATTGTAAAAATGTGGAGAGTGAGTGGTAGAGCGAGAGAAAAGGGTTGGCGTCATCGATGCATCTTTGATGTCTAGTAGGAACCTGTGTTACCTTTTGTACTCACCCAAAACCATGTTTTTGTAAATTCTACATTTTTTGAACACGTGCAACTAGTTTTAAGACCTTCTCTCTTATCCCGCCGTTTGAATTTGATATGAAAATTGCCCGCAAGGTAATACCTTTGACGTTTATGTACGTTATGATGTTGGCCTTCAACAACTTGTGCCTACAATATGTAGAGGTTACATTCTATCAGGTTTGTTATATTTGAATTAAACTTGGGAGTGATCTTGGTATTAATTAAAGAATGAATTTCAAATAGCTCATAATATAATCAATTAGGTTGCACGTTCACTTTCAATCCTTTTCAATATAACTTTCACATATACTCTACTTGGAGCTAAAACTTCATTTGCCGCATTGATTTGTTGTGGTGTTGTTTTCCTTGGATTCGTGATTGGTTCCTACGGGGAAATAAACTTCTCTTGGGAAGGAATCATTTACGGTGTCGCTTCCAGCGCATTCGTTGCATTGTATGGCATTTATGTTAAAAAGACCCTTAGCGCAGTGGACAATAACCAATGGTAAATTAAATACACCCTTTACATCGTTCGTTCACCTATAATTCACCAACTAATGTCATTTTGATTTATCCTTCTTTAGGCGATTACTCCATTATAACACAACTTTATCAATAGTTTTCCTTTTCCCATTAGTACTTTTTTCCGGTGAATTACAAAGCATTGTCAACGTGTATTTCTTGGATGATTGGGGATTTTGGACATTGATGACTATCACCGGCATCACAGGATTCGTCATCAACATTGCAATGTTCTTGCAAATTAAATTCACAACACCTTTAACAAACACAATTTCAGGAACTGCAAAGAGTTGTTTCCAAACTGCTTTGGCAGCTTGGTATTTCCAAAATCCAATTTCACCCTTGGTAAGTTCATTACGTTATAGATCATCCCGATATTAATCTCCTATATTAATGAATGATTTCTTTACTTTATTAGAATGGAACTGGTATATTTCTCGCTTTATTCGGTTCAGGTTTATATTCTTGGGTGCGATATAGGGAAATGCTCCGAAAATAAGTTTATTTTCTATATTTCATAACTTAAACGTACGAACATTATATACATATATATATTTATATACAATTTAGATTATTTTGTTACTCGAGAATGAATTTTTGGAATTTTTTTTTCCCCCGAGGGAGGGAATAAATAATAATAATAATAATATTAGTAATAGACTTTTTGCATGTGATACTTTGTGGTAGACAGTTTATAAATTTAATTATTATATTTGATTAATAAAATATTCAAAAAAAAAAAAGTTGCAATTTATATAAATTCCATTTTGTACCAACATAAGCCATATCTAATAATGTGCCACAATGACTTTATTCATGGCTGCGGTATTATTTATCTCGCAGTAATCGATTATCAGTATGATGTAAATATGTAACGTATGAATGATTTTAACATACATTCTTATTACTCAGTACTGAACAAACTAATGTAAAAATTGGTTTATTTAGTGTGGCTTCGGAATTAACGAAAACAGTCCTAAATCCTTGTTAAAAGACAAGAAAATTATAAACAAACAAATTTAAAGCCTATCTACCTATGTTGCGTTCAAGTCAAAGGATTGATTGGTTCAAGGGGCGGGTTAATCTATATGGCTTCGTTATAGGCTTATAGGAAAAATTTTTTTTTTTCGAGAAGTAGAAAAAAGGCTTTGCTGATCGATCGATTCCTTCGTGATTTGACAAGTTTTAAACGTAACTATATTACTCCAATAATTAAAATTGATGACACCCGATTATTTTAATGTAAAACACACTAACTTTAAACTGGCGGCTCGGCTGTTTTGTGGCGTGGATTGTGTAACGTCTTTGTTTTGGACTATTTCGATTTTGGGACATTTCATTTGAAAGATGATCAAACTTTTACCTCTCTTTTTTAATGACTAAATTGTTAATTTTTACGAAAAAATCTCTTTTTTAATGTCTCTCTGATTTATTATACTATTTTATTTTTGTTCTTATAGGGTGCAACAAATTTAGAATAGGTTTTAAAAAATTAAAGGCTTCAAACAATGGAGCCAATTGACGAAAGTACAGCACCTAGCGAATCATTACAAACGGTTCCAATCTATAATTTAGACGCGTCGTCTTCCGATAGTGATTCTGATGACCAAGGACGTATGGGCGGTCCTCCTGTAGGACCTCCAATAGATACAAGTACTTTATCGCTTTCAGGCGTTCCTCAAACTTCACAGCGTCAACGAATACAGGTACCACAACGTTCTTATGCTTCAATGCCGAGACATGAGAGAGCACTTTCAGAGCTATCAGCTGTAGCAGAATCTGTACAAACTAGGCCTAGTGTTGATGAAGAATACCTGTTTGACGAAGATTCTACCAGCGAAGAAGAGCCTTTTCAACCAGGTCAAACTGTAATGACACCTCAATCGGTTGCTAGTCCAAATACTCAATATGAATCTCATCCTGTTGCTGACGTCCCGGTTACTACTTCTAGATCTGATAATCGTGGCTTAAGACCTTTAAGTTTACTAGGTGGTCTTGAATCATCTCAAGGTCGACATGCAGATGTGGAGAAAGGGTTACCTTTACATACGAAAGGTTCTTATTTATATTTCTAATAATTCGCCAGCGTTTTGTAAATGAAAGCATAGAAAAATTTTAAATCAATGCTTAATTCTGATTGAAGTTGACCGATTCTTTGGATTCGATTTTTTAGAAAGGTTATCTAAGCTTATTTATAAATTTTTTTCGTATTTAGAAACAACGCCATCTGAACCTAAATCGCGTGCAATAAATAAAGAAACGACAGTACCAGCGGAACATCCAAGTGATGCAAGAGGATATCGTCGCTCAAGAGATGAACATATGTATCATCACCGTGAATCTTCGGATCTCTTACCATTAACTCTTGTATCAGGAGGAGGCGGACTTTCGTTTTCATCTCATTATGCATATCTTCCTTCCCCTTTTGGTAAAGTTATAACTCGATCACAAATTATGGCTAGAGTTGCTTGGTTTTCTCAGCTGGTCATATTTAATATAATCTACGCAGGATATAAATTAAGTTCTTCCGAACAATTGGTGGAAGGAAAACATTCCACGTTTAATTTAATTGGATTAGTCATTATTCCACTTATTTTCTTAATTACCTATATTTTAGTTGTTACAATATGGACTTATATAGACCTTTGGAATAAAGAATTTTATCCATCTTTCACGGTTTTATATTACTCTCCTCTGATGATTTTTTCAATATTTTTCGGGGAAAAGAAACGAGTTGATGTATCGAAATTTCATGAAGTAAATTATGGAGCAAAATGGTGGAGATTTGGTGCGACAAGCGTAAGAGAAAGTTTGATAATGACTTTCTATTGTTTATTTGTTATAGGTTTCATTACATATGATATAGTAGGTAAAGTTTTCAATCAACGTAATGCTGAAGTATCAGAAGTATTTGAAGATTTTGTTCCATCTTTATTTCTGTTGGTCGTCTTTTCATTGGGATTTATAGTATCTATATGGGCTTTAATTGAAACTATTGTAGCAGGAAGTATGCATGGTAGTGGTGAAGGAAAGAAAAGATTAGTGGGTGTATTACCGAATGCATTCAAAACAAAAAATTTATAATGAATTTTTATGAAAAAAAAAAAGAGTTTTGATTCATTATTTATTTAAACGAAAAGAATTGAAATTTTGACAAAAAAAAAATTTTTTTTTTTTTATTGTATTATATATTTTTGTATATTATTATTTTATTTAAAAAAAAAAAAAAAAAATTAAATTGTTATATTTTTATCTATATAATAATCTAATAGATCCAAAAAAAAAAAAAAAAAAAGAAAAGGTATAATTGTTTAATTGAAATATAAATAATATATTTAAATAAATGTACAAAAAATAATTTAAAATAAATGAATTAATTATGTTAGAATTTGTTTCGTATTTATCGGATCAAGAATGACACGTGCATAGGGTTGATCCTTTAGGCCATTTCAAAGTTGTTCGATCGGCATTTTGATCGTCAAATCCAGTAACCAATCAAAAATGAAATGGTAATGCTTGGATTGACTTCATTACTTGGAACACGATATTTAGAGCAAAGAAATTATAATGTAATA